ATGGACCCACCTCTAATATAATCCTTTTTACAAATGAACCCACGTCTGATAGAACCCCATTGCATATGCGCCCACCTCGAATATAATTGTATTAACGATGGATCCACCTCTGATAACACCAAATTAGACATGGATACACCTCTAATGGACTCCAATTACATGTGGATCCACCTCTAATAGAATCCTAATAAGATGGTTCCATCCCCAATGGCATGCTATTAGAGATTGGTCCACCTCTAACAGAATCCTGTGACAAATGGATCCATCTCGAATGGGATCCTATTAAAGATGGACCCACCTCTAGTAGTATCTGATTAGAGATGGATCTAATGGAATCCTAATGCGGATGGGACCATCTCTAACAGAACCCTATGACAGATGGACCCACCTCTAATATAATCCTATTACATATGGGTCCACCTCTGAGAGAATCCTATTAGGGATGGGTTCACCTACCTCTGATGGGGTTCTACATGACACGCATTCACTTCTAATAGAATACTATTACATATGGATCTACCTCTAATAGGATCGTAATACAAACGGGTCCACCTCAAATTCAATCCTACCAGAATCCTGATACAGATGGGTCCACCTCTGATGGAATCCTATTACAGATGGATCCACATCTACTAGAATCCTGGTACAGATGGATCCATCTCTACTGGAATCCGACTACAGCTGGATCCACACTTGATGGAATCCTATGAGAGATGGGCCCATTTCAACTGAAAGTCTATTACATATCGATCCGGTCCAAATGGAATCCTAGCAGATATGGGTCCTCCTTTTAATATAATCCTGCTACACATGGATTCACCTCTAACAAAATCCTATTACAGATGGATCCACCTCTAATTGAATATTATTAGAGGTGGGTCCACCTATAATGGGATCCGATTAGACATGGATTCACCTGTAATGGAATCCTATATGAGATGGATCCACCTCTATTGGGGTCCTATTAGCGATGGGTCCACCTCTAAGATCATCCCATTCCAGATATTTCCATCCTAATAGAATCCGATGACAGATGGATCCACCTCTCATAGAATTCTAGTAGCGATTGACCCACCATTTACACCCCCTCCCTACAGAAGGTTTTCTTTTGTGGCGGATTACGAATTGATTCCTTTTGTGGCAAAATATACAGTGATTCCTTTTGTGTCGGATTACAAATGGGTCCCTTTTGTGGCGAATTACAAATCAATTGTGTTTGTGGCGGGTTTCAAAATGATTCCTTTTGTGGCGGATTTGAAATGGATTTCTTTTGTGGCGGATTACAAATTGATTACAAGGATGATGATGATGCTGGTGATGGCGATGCAACGCAGCAAAACGAGGTGGTACGCACACACGGTTTTATCAACTCCACCCTCCCCCCTCCTCCTCCCCCTCCTCCTCCTCCTCCTCCTCCTCCTCCTCCTCCTCCTCCTCCTCCTTCTCCTCCTCCTCCTCCTCCTCCTCCTCCTCCTCCTCCTCCTCCCCCTCCCCCTCCTCCCCCTCCCCCTCCTCTAGTGGCAGCCCTGCGCTCGGGGCAGCTCGGTCCCCACGCTCTGCGGGGCGCCGGCCAAGGCCGGCAGCCCGCTGTGCCCAGGCGATCGCAAACATACAGGAGGGGAAAAAACATGTTTTTGGTCTGCGGGTCGAGAGCGAGCCTCTTCCGGTTAAAAGCTAGGCGGGCCACGCAAAGCTCTAGTTGGGGAGACAGGGCACAGGCGGGCGGGCCTCCGGCGGCCGGAGGGCGGGCCGGGGTGCAGGCGGTGACGAGGAGCTTGCACAGGAAAAGGTACACCTTGGACAGGAGCCGGAGGTGAAGTCCTGGAGGGTGAGCGGTGTGGTGTTGCCGGCGACGGCGCGTCAAAATCATCATCCCCGAGTGCTGCGTGGGGAAGGACGTAACCAGGTCGAGATCGCAAACATACAGGAGGGGAAAAACACACACAGACACAATTGATCATCGATTCCACAGAAAATATGGGAAAATCTGGGAAGTGGGGGGGAAGACAAATATGGGAAAAGATTGGGAATCCGGTTATTTGTGTGTGTGTGTGTGTTGATTTGTGTGTCCCAGGGCCCCTTTAAAACATGGATTACACGCCGGTCGTTGAAAGTAGGTATTGTTGGAATCCCAGATCCCAATCTACTTCAAGCGCCTTCCTACTTCAAGAACCGGCATGCTTTTGCTGTGTTCTTTTTATTATCTGGGAGGACCTGGGCCCAACCTACTACATCCGCCTTCCTACTTCATGCTTCTACCTACTTCTTCCGACCGACGTGTAAGGGGGCGTGGATGAGCGACGGGTCCCGTTTCCAGGGGAAATCGCGAATTTCCGCCGCCGAGCGAGGCGGCACCGGCCGCATTTTGGGGAGGGCACCTCCCCCGATCCATGGATCTGGCGACCGCGCGCCAAATCCATGCATCGCTAATCCATGTTTGCGCGCCTCCGATGTGCGCGCTCCGCCGGCGTCAGTCGTCGGGGATCCACCGGCCAGGGCT